TAGGACGAAACGGCCGTCCAGTGCTTCCAGATTTTCCATGGTGGTCTAGCTTCAATCGACTCATGATTTCAACCTGTGAAATTTCTAAAACTCTCCGCAAAACCCATTCTGAGGAAAATAGAAAAAAAAATTATAGAGAGGAAATTTTTGATTTGTTGATAATTTCTCCTATTCAATCTGACATACGTATGTAGTAACAGATTGTTTACATTATATTGATATACATATAAAATTATTTCATGGAAAATAACATATCCATTTGGGTTTCTTTTTCTATATAAATCAATAAACAGTGAAAATATTTCTGATGACCTGTAAGTTTATTGAGTTTACATGTAATTACAACGAAACAACATAAGCATAACTAAGTAAACATCAGTGTTCGATTTATTAAAACAAAAAAAGTGAATAATTAAACAAGAGAATTCATTAAACTATTTAAATGATCAATTGCAGTTATTGGTATTTTTGAACTATCACTTTCAGTCGTAAAACAACGATGAAGAATTTTTCGATATGGAGTATTTTTTTAACTGTTAGAAAAACATTTCAGGTCAACGTTTAAAATAATTAACATATTTATATCTATAGAAAAGAAAATTTGTTATACTGAATGAGTAGAGTCTTTTCTTGATGAATAAGTGATCCTTTATTTAGGGGAATGAAAAGTATTATACTAAGATTATAGTAATTTATTGCTTAAAATCATTGAAACATCGACATACTATTGAAAAATATCATAGATTGATAAAGTCTATTTAATGGTGAAATGGTAATTTAAAATAATATTCTTATGATATTTGTTTGTCTATAATAAAATAAAAAATTATGTCAGTTATATACTATTAATTTATCATTATTATTTTGTTAACAATGAAATGAAATATGTAAATTAATAAATCATCTAATCACTTACGTAACTGTATGTATGTCAGTTCATTAACTTTATATATAGTTTGTTTCGCCACTATATATATATATATATAACTGGGGACAATAGACGTTAGGACTCTGTCTTGAGTTCAATTAGTATGATAGTTAATTCAACCCTATTACTAAATCTTCTATTGATTTCACACTCATTCAAGTCCCAACCTCTTAATTTTCTTTCAGTCGTAGGTATTCCACTTTTTTAGAGTCTATATATTATTTATCATCTGTCTATGGATAAGAATAAAATGTACACTCATTAAAAACTATGATTGAATATATACAATTTAAATTGCATAATAACAAAATAACATTTAAAGTTATCTGTTGTTTCATACATTAATAAAATCTAAACCATATTTAAAAACCATTTGTTTACCTAGATAAATTACTACTTGCTAGATGACTGACCATTTTTACAGAAAATTTCACTCATAAGATCCAAACTAATATAATTGTTCATTTGCGTGATTTAGGTTGACTGTGCCAATCTTAAGACAGTTTATGTCAGAGACTGACATCAACTAGAGAACCACATTAAACCAAAGAGCGGTGAACTGCTTAACTTCAATAAACTCAGCAGTGTGACAAATACCAAGTGATAATACTTGATTAAAGGTATAATGTAAAATGACTTGAAAATGTGGGCTAAAGGTGTTATGTCCTGTACAAGATCTAATGGTCGTGGGTTTAACTCTATGTGAGATCGTGTATTACCACCGTTGAAGAGTCCTATATAGGAACGGGACAAGCATTGATTGTCTTCCGCTTAGTAATTATTACCCATTGGGTGTCAAACTGTAACTAGAACTATCTTCGAATTAATGTTTCCTTTATGCAAAAGACCAAGATTTTACTAATACAAAATGCAATATTATCACTACGATTACTCTTTATTACTCCACATGTTATGCAAAACAATATTTTTTAACTCGGAAGTTTAAAGGTAAATTTTATGAATAAAATAAAGAATTACATTTAAAGTTGTTACTCAGCTTACCTATCATTCTATGACACTTGGATCTCTGAGTTTAATTATACTGTATTTCTAATGCTTTAAATTACTAGATGTAATGGATAGAAAGCTGTTTGCACTTAATGCTTAGTTACATACGCTTTACTTGTTATTCTTTTTGACCTTGATCAACACTACATAGAGTTATGCACGTCGCTTGCATTCACAAAACATTAAATAGGATAGGCAGTACAATATCAAATGCCATGATTTAATACTTATTTACACTCACGATTAGAAAGTGGCTACAGTTTTCTATCCAGTGGTCAATTAGCATAGAAGTCAGTGTATCTAAACAAAACTAAAATGTATGAATAATGTTTAAAGAGGTGGAAAATAAATTCAGTTTTCCGGAAATGTATTAGTCCACACAATATATCGACCTTGTTCAACTTAATGTGATCAATAACTGCTGATGAAGAATTTAAATGGTTCAGTTAATCAATTGGATAATTATTTGACAGTAATTATCTGTGACCTTAGTGAAAATCATTAAAAAACACTAATAAAATTGTCAAAACTTTTGACATTTAGACATTTAGACGATAAAAATTATGATAGTTATAATCATTTAACTGTATTAATAATAGATATTTATTTTAAAGGATCATGAAAAACAAAATCCTCTGTGAAACTAAATATCTTTTGAACTAGCGAGTTACTTTACAAATCAGTAGTTTTCGCTATACTGTGTTTTAATGCTCTAAATGTTATGTCATGTTGAATGTTCTCTTACTTCATAAATATATATATTCCATCACCTTGTAATTTAGTTCAGCCTGACAGATTACTTAACATGAAAGAAAATGGGAAAATCTAACAATAAATTCATTCCACATCTTAGCTATTCGGATGTAAATGAAAACTTTTAAGCAAAAGTGTACATAAGAAGTCAAACTCCCTAACCACTTACCAAAATTCACTAAAATAACAGACCATTAAGGTCACACGCAAGTATAAAGCCCTTTGAGTACAGTCTACGTAACTAGAGCCATAGGGCAAGTTAAATTGATAAGAACACCAAGACGAGACCATCATCGATATTTTCCCTTGGTTTACTGAAACAGCATTGCCTTTGCTGAAAATGTAACGCGCAAAATGGTAGTATTGAAAGTCATTTTGCTGGATTTATTGGCTAGGTGGATGGGAATTTCACCCACTGTGCCACCTTGAAAATAAAGTTTAAGGTACGGAGTTTCTTTTTTGATCGCTAGTCAGTTATGATCAACTTTGAGCTTGGCAAATATATGGGATGGCTCAAGTTTCCCTGCTACATTAGCTTAACGAGATAAAGTTGAGAGTAGTAGGAAAAGTAACAAAATAACATGACAGGGTTGATAACGAGAAAGAATGGAGATTTAAAATATGTTACAGAGAGTTATTGAAGAGGTATATATGAAGAAACACTGGAATTCAAAACCCAGATGAAGATGCCAGATTTGAGTCTGATCACCTCTAATTTTTTTTCCAGTTTACTCCTACACCGATTAACATCCCTCATCAAGTTAGGTGATGGTTAAGACATGATATATATATATATATATATATATATATATATATATATATATATATATAACGTTTACTATTCGATTGTCTCAAATTTGGTAAAAAAACGAATTTCATATTCTGTGATTGTTGTACAGCCACTACATTTAATGTATGAATCCATTCATTCATCCATCATTAAACTGAAGGGAGAGTTCAAATATATGACTAAAATATAAAATATCTACCTACATATAACTTCGAAATGTTATTATCAAATGATAGAAAAAAATCGATATAAAGTTACGTACAAATCAATTGTTTGTTCAAGTATTATTTATTTACTGAACTTTCTGAATTTACCATCTCATTATACATTCAGAAAATCTAAATTGGTAAAATGCTGTTGAATTTCAATAGTTTTACCACTAAAAAAATTTGAATTTCTATAAAAATGAAGCAACTAATCCAGATAGACTAGAAAATTTTAAAAAAACATCTTTTTTCATTAAACAGACGAACAGATATGCATTAACGATTACTAAGGAACTGCACTTTCATGGGAGGAAAACTTTTTATTATAGGGGTGTTTATGACAATTGTAGGATTTCCATAGCTCAACTCATGAATTGATCTTAGCCAGATTACCAATAAACGTCTGGAAGCACAGGATGACCACCTCGTTCTAGCATGAAACTCATCAGTGATGAGCATACACAACCCTGCAACCGGGACTATAACCCAGGACCTTTGATCTCGCGTGCAAATGCTAAACCTGTATGTCACTGAACCGGCATCCAATGTCAAACTTTAAAGCAGTTTTTATCATTAAAATTAGTGAGTACGTTCATTATAGAACATCAACATTGATTAAAGAAAATGGGACTATAGAAAATTACATGGACCAATAATCTACTAAACATTTACTCCTTGTACTATTTTAAATAGATTTTAAATCAAAAAAATTATGTGTAACTTTAACATCCTTTCTACTCAAAGATTACAGAGCAAAGAGTTTACCTTCGTAGTTCCAAACGTTTCACCATACAAACCAGGTAATATAAACGGTTATCTACTGGGGGTTAAAAAGTATTTTAACAATCATTCATATGTTTTTTAGTATCTCTATTAGCAGTGCTAGTAGTAGTACATGGGTAGAAGAATATGACTAATCATAACTGGAACGAATGGTAGCATTACATGTTGTAAAGAGCATTTTATGGTGTACGCCAGTGCGGAAATTCACCTACGATCATCAACCGAATTTAAAATTCTTAATAAGTGTTACAAATTGTAGAGCCTAATTTTTTTTATATTAGTGTGGGGTGCTTCATTTATCGGCCGATTCAATGTATGTAAACTGATAAATATGTGAATTTAAGTAGATGCAAAGTAGTTTGATTATCGCTTGTTAGTTAGGCGCTTCCTATATACGTTTTACTATCATCATGTTGAATTAAGTGACATTTCTAAGTCGTCTACAAATTTCTTATTTACAGCAGATATTTCTTACAACATGTGAACACATTGAATAATGAGTTGACTACATGCAAAAAGACAAAATAACTACTTTCAGTAATTTTGGTCAGACGATTCTTCGACAGATCCAGAGTTTTCAATTGCGTAAGATTTCCAATACAATCTGGAATCGGTCCTTGCAATTGATTACTTTTCACTACTAATGTCTGTAAAAGCTTAATAAGAAAATATATTTGTCGGGTAAAATGATACAGGTTATGATTAATTTTATAATGTGGACAATTACTACAGCCAAAAACATCGAAGATTCGAGTGCTGTTTGATGAAATATTTGTGGAACTTTAGTCTACATGACATGTATGAATAAAAATGAAAGACATAAAGGTCATAATAATAAAAACTGGATAATAACCATAAAAAATTGTTTAAGGACAATAATAACTTATTATGGTTTAAAATTACAAAATACTTATCCTAAAATCAAAACATAGTGATAATATGAAAGACCTTAAACATACGAATGTATAGCTTAGGTAAATTATTTCGTCGAAAAGAAGATTTTCCTCTCTGAATTCTCTTTATTTTTATTCAATGACACAACGGACTATTTTAACTATCTGAAGAGTTGCAATGGCACCTAAACATTCTCTGAAAGTAACTACATCCTTTAAAAAAGGTAGAAACTATAGTTTTAGCATGCAAAAACATGCTCATAAATTAAAAAAGCTCATAATTCAGTTATACTTGTGAGCAAAAATGAACTTCAATAAGAATCAATGATTTACCAAGGTGTTTTAACTCTAATCGTCAATAATGTCAAGAACAAAAATCTATTGATAGAATTTGAGTAAGCAGTATTTAATCACAGATGTCATAATTCAGAGCGGTACATTGGTGATTGAAACAAAGCAGAGGAATGCATGAGATATAACAGTGTCTTTTTCAACCACTTTTCAAGATTGTACTACATGTGACTTGATCAAAGTATAATATGACTCAAATATGCACATAACAAACCAGTAATAGCCGTAACATGATTTTGGATTTTCTTCGTTAGATACTAACAGGAAGATAGTATTAATAGCCATCACACAGAGAAGCTATGCCCAAGATACATAATACTAACTTTTATTCTAGCTGTCACTTATGTTTGCCATCTTTTGTAATTATTGAATAATAGCACTGTACCATAAAATAATTTAACCAAACTTCCGCTAACCTGGTGATTTTAAGCACATTTTTATTGTTTCGAAACTTTGAAGTACATCTAGTGCAGTAACAGACACTAAATTCAGTATAGTGCCAAACTCATTTAAGAAAGACCATTATGCTATGAAGATATATTTGCAACGTAAAAGTAAAAACATCTCGCAGAATGTCTACAGTAGGTTTTTTCTACAGAAAGATCTTAAAGTATCAACCTATTGTCGCTCTTGAAGTTTATTGACTACATGTTGATTTATTCTCCATTGACATCAGGTCCCAGACAAAGTTCCACATACCCGACTGTTACCAAAGTAGGACAGTATCAAAGTAGAAGATTATTTCTGTGGATAAATAGCTTTTCAGTTGGACCCAAATAAAGAGCACTAACTGTCTAGCTTAAAAACGGTGTCCGATGAAGTAATGCAGGATGCAATATTAGAACTAGCATCAATTTCCTTGTATGTCAATGATCTTCCTGGTTTTCGTCATCGTCAGTTTTGTGACTGAAGACTCTTAATAAATGTATCAAGATACGATGAAAGACCTGAAACAAAGGGAGTAGTGCGAAGGTTTTAAAAGGTCTGCAGAAGTCGGAATATTTTTATGGCACCCAGCAACTGATATTGAATGGATCTAGGTGGATTATGTTGCATATTGGTCATTAACACATAATCAAATTGCGAAAAATGTTAAGTCACTTGTTTTCTGCACACATAGTCATTCAGAGGTTAGTATCCATCAGAATTTTAGAACCGTTGTACATGTTTAGTTACCCTTAAATGTATCCGAATTCTATAGTTAATAAGTAGAGATTTAATCAATTCTTTAAATCATATACGCTGTGAATTCAACTGGAACTCATGCGTTGCAAACAGGCAGTTAACTTGCCAGAAAAGGGTAGTAAAAAATTGGAAAAGGTATAAAAATCTCAAACAAGTTGAATGCATGGATCTCAGGGCTAGTATATGATGACAGATCCGCTGAACTAAACCTAATTCTTTTATGAGACACAACAATCAGAGGACATCTCAGCCTATTAAACGTCAATTTCGCATTAGACATTCCCTCATTTTTTTACCTTCTAAAACGGAAGATTAACAGGGGCACTCCAAAATCGTTCAAAAGGTCATGAAGAATAACCCATTAGTTACCTACAGAACTCAACACATGTTTCTAACTCCATCTTCATGAACACTGAATGGATAATTGTTTTAAATAAGAGAACTTACTTCTCCGTAATTACCACAAGTCCCACAGCCTTCTGTACTTCCTAGACTGAAAACGAAACTCAACTGTCTGTCAAAATGTATTACGTTATTATTTGAAACAAACGCTAAGTTTAGAAAGTTGATGTGTAAGGCAAAATGAAAATCCAAGAAAAATATCATACAGGATAAGTGAAAATAACAAGACTAGACCTACACATAAATTACCAATAGCAGATATATCCGTTAATTTATTGTAAGTCAGGTAGAGTTGTTTCATTAAAGTGAATTTTGTTATAACAACAGGAATGCAACCTTCAAGCCTGTTGTGCCTGATATCAAGATGAGTTAGTTTTGAACAATAACCAAGCTCATCTGGTAGAAATGTGAGGGAGTTTTCTTGGAGCCATAACTGTGAAAGAAAGTAAACTAAATCACGGCATACTCTCTGGAGATTCTTCAGAAGTCCGATCTGCAAGGGAAGACATGTTAACTTATTATCATACAAAAAAAGCTCTATTAAATGACTGAGACTTCCAATGTCCGGAGAAACGCTGTCAAGCCCCAAAGAGGACAAGTCCAGTACCAATCTACTTTTCGAATCAGAAATCAGCTTACTGCCGTCCTGAAATACTTTTTATAACTTCTTAATCGAAAACTAACGGAATGATAAGATTTCCTTGATTTAGTTAAGCTGATAATTTTTCCATTGTCATCTTGATAAAAGACCCTTCTCTTTGCGGCTAATGAAGCAGGAGATCCAGGTATCCCCGGACTTTGTGATGAGCATATTCCTGAGTTGAGAACAGGATGAGAGCCAGTACCTGTAACATAATATCGCGCTTTCAATAAGAACTACTTCGGATATACGTCTTCAAGAATTTGTATTGCTTACTAAAAAATTCTTTATTGACTGACTTTGCCTTGTCCTGTTCGGTTGAAGTGTATGAACGCTGCCTCTAACCAATGAAAAAAAGTTGAGAAAATATCTTACCGGCATATTACAATCGGTTTACCGCGTTCATGTCAACCTTGAAAACAAAACCTTTACTAGCACAAATACAAAATCCAGTACTTCCTTAATTGATCATGAGGTAGATGGATAAAAAGTAGATGAACTTTGTTAATTGACAAAAGACGGTTATTCCTGTCAGATGTTGAGGCAATCATGCTAGTCTTTAGTTATAGAGATAGGCCATGTGACATTTGTTAATCCTTGTGTTTAGTAATATTACTGAGACATCTGGATCAGGTTTTGCAAGCTTCAGTAATTTTGCATGTGCTTATGGTCTGCTCAGAGGTTATTGAGCTATGGGCTGACAGAGAGACCTGTAGATGCACTGTCCAACTCCTGATGATGCCGTAAATATGAACTTCCGAGGATTTTCAAAGCAAATGCTAAGTACCCACCTGTTTGTAATGATCGTCCAGTTAAGATTAGTTCTTAATGTAGACTATGAGGGTTCAGAACCCACTGTCAACTCCTATAGTAATAACTACAGTTCTGAGAGTAGGGATTGGGCACACTAGAGCTTCAGGCGTAGTGTCACGGACGCGGAATTCTGAAAACTAACGACAAATGGAGTCTCAGTAAATTTTCGGTCGTGAACTTGATCGTCATAAGAGGATTTTATACCGTGTTAGACTGTTGTTGCACAGACATGACTCTACTGCCTTCATTTAAAATATCTTTTTAGCATAATGTTCGGGGTAATTAAAACCTCGTAGCGAGATTCTGACAAAGAAGAAAATCAGAGGAGCAGCAAGGCGCTTGGGTATGAACGCGAGGCAGTGCTTAACATTTTATAATGCAACAGACAAAGGTATGATAAATTATTAGACCAAATTCATACAAACTTTTGTTGCTAGAGTAAACTGTCATCAGAGGCTTTAGAAGAGATAATAATTAATGAAGAACAATCAGTTGTGATATTTATCAAGATGGAGTAAGTTCAAATAAAGGGAAGGAAGTCAAGATTGAAATTAAGAAGGCTGTTTATTGGAACGAAAAGTGCATATAGAGAGTAAAGTGTTAAGAATCTAATAAATATCTTCTATTGTCTGATTATTTTAGTTTGTTTCTTTCCTTTTTGATCCAATGCGAACCACATAGTCCTAGTGTAAAAGTTCGAGGCAGTATGTTGTAGATTGTCTTAGTTGAATAGCATAAAATTAGAGACATGAGTCTGAATGGTGAGTGTAGGAGAACAACCACAACATCATAGAATGTTTTACTTGTTCTCAACCATAAAGAGCACGATACAAACAAAATGTTCTGCTCCACAGACATGGGTGGATTGAAGTCATCACCATCACCATCAGTGTTTGCTTGTCAGTAAATCCACCCCCCTCCTTTTGTAATGTTAGGTTCATTTAAGCTTATTTTGGATATATATCATACCTCACATGCTCTGTGCTTCACATCCTGTTGGAAAACACTATTTCCATAAGCACCATTTTACAAGCTTATCAGGCAGTTACAAATTATTGACTGTGGGTAAGGCATCAATCTAATGCTTTATTTGACTATAGTATAAATTATAGGTTGCCGATCGAGTATAGGCACTAAGAAGGGTATATTGTAGGATAGTTGTTTATCAAAGTAGGCGAGATATAGAAATATATGGGTTATGGATAAAGTAACGAGTGGAGAAAAAATATTAATGACATGTCAAAATGGTGTACTGAAGAATTAAGAGCTGATAAACAATAAACAAGAAGGAACTCACATTAACTTAATGTTGATGTTATTTTGTTCTATCCTAACCGGTTGATGGGTAAAAGGTTCCATAGGTGCAAGATCACTGGTAGTAGGCAGTCGATTGTGTGGTTCTTTTGAATTTTAAGGGTAGTAGTGAGTGTCTCTTAGCTACCGATTATAGTTGAGCAGTATCCTGTTAAACTAGACGCAGATGCATGGGAATACTTAAATGGGAGCAAAATAATAAAAGCATTGCGGTACGGTACCAAGCCCATGTTATGCTTTACACAAGTAATGGTAACTGACCTAATCTAATATTCATGAACTCAAGGTAAATCACAACTGCATAAATCCTTTGCTAAAAAATCATGTGATTTGGTTTTTTATCTATTCCACATTTCTGACTAAATTCATTACTATTTTCTCATTTAGAATGCAACAGGAGTGAGCCTTCACAGATCCTAAGAACTGTTTCACCCTTAGAACTATGACCCTATGAAACTGTTTACGGGAGACCCAACTAACAGCAGACTACAAAAAGGATGATGGATGTCCATTTCGTTCTCACAACCATTTCCAGTACTTTTTGAGTTACTTCTTTTACCCCTTCTTTTGGAAAAAACAACACTGCAGCTTAACATTACCAATGTAACTTTTAAACGGGGACTTCGTTTGAACCTTTGTTTGATATACGATTCTTAATGAAAGTTCCTGAATAAATTTTTACTTTGTTTTATCTACCTAATCGTTGCAAGAAAGTTGTGATACACGAGTCTCTCAGCACTTAGTTCATATGTAGCAAATTTAAATGGTTTAGTACATATCTTCGTCATTTTCTTGGGAAACCTACAGACTCGGGTCCTCTAGTAACTTATTCTAACCACCATTAGATGTCGCGGCAGCTGATGGATGGACACGCATTACACATCCAAACCGTACCTGCGTCTAATCTCATAGCTCCTTATTCATATGTCATATGATAAGCAAACAATGCCCCTACCCGCACTAATGGAACACTAGTAACTCAAAGGTACCCTGTATGGTACCTTACATTGGTCTACGCACTCGCTTGGCTCTTTAATGAGAATATTACTACAGTCCTGCTAAAAATCCCATGAACCCCCCTATCTCCATCAAAACAAATAAGTCTGTGTTCGCTGCATATAGCAAATTTATTTTTCAGAAGATATAACAGTTAGAATTAAAGTAAAATGACAGTGTACAACAGATGCACATGGTACATGTCTTCATTGATTAACTGAAATAGAGAATACGGATATTAGCTTAACAGGCTTACTTAGAAAGACTAGTGTCTACTTTGAACTTACTGCATGAGAAAGTTATACTGGAACTACCAAAAAATGTACGAATCTAGACTCCCGGGGCGTACGAAGCACTCAAACTGGAAGACAATTGTCCAAAAATAATCTGAATGTGAAGGTGAGAATTTACAGGCACTTTTCTTCGTAAGGGTGAACATACTAGGTACCGGTTGACATCATACCGTAAAAAAACATAAATTTGCGAGTGGTGAAATATGATCTATAAAAAAGTGAGCTTAATAACAGTTAATTACCTTTTTACTCCCTGATCATGATCCTTCGGCTTCTTTTTATGGCCGAAACAGCAAACATACACTACACACATTATACTGGCATTTCGTATCTTTAATTATGATTTGGGTGTTAATATGTCCTATCTTTTCGCTCACCCCAGCACTAATAATCTCCGAGGTCATAGCAAGAAGGTTCATAAACCACGATCTAATAAACTTAAAGTGGGGTCCCGTTTTTCTCATCGAGTAGTCAGTGATTGGAACGCCTTACCCGAACAAGTGGTATCAGCCCCATCAGTGAATACTTTCAAGGAAAAGCTGGACCTTCACTGGAAAGCAATGTGTCAGGATTAACACAGGTTTATTGACCTACTATCCTTATTACTGAAGACTGAAAACTGATGGCAGATTTCCGGATTTTCAATGTTAAGCTTGCTTTAACACACTACGTAATGAGTACAACCCCTCTATTACTGCTATATGGTATATATTTTTATAACAAACCCTCTGCAATAGATTGGTATCATCTGTGACTTCATCTATGGTTATCGGAAGTCTGGTTCCTTTCGAAAACAATACTGATATCCCCTACTTCTGGACACTCAGTATAAGTTTGACTCGTTGGTGGGATAGTGGTGTCCATAGTACTGAAGAACATTGAAAACCGGAAATTGTTTCATTTCATTTTGCCGATAACATCATAAAGGACAGCTAGGAACGAACATGCGGACAGTTAGTCACAGGTGGCAGCAACAATTATTTTAGCTAAAAAACGAGCTTCGGCTTTGGATATCTAGAAAACAAGTCAAAACAGAACCGATTACCATTTCAAAACATAAGACTAGCCAGCTTGGCTGAAGAAATACATTGACTTCGGTAGCGGCAGCCAAAACCCAGAAAACAAAGCAAAATCAGGAAAAATTTTGCTCCAACATTTAGAGTATTACATTAACTTCTGCATTTTAACACACTGAAACATTAAATTCTGTAGCTATACAAAACAAATGGCTGAAAATGCACAAAACGAAGAAAGCCGGCCGCCATTGCATACCAAGATGGCGGATATAATAATTCCCGCTTCATTCTGATTGGTCGCTAAGCAGACTGTCACGTTTACGAAATTGAGTTGCATTCAATGGAAGCCCAATGATGTGGAAAAGGAGGGGACAGGAAAACAGCGAAGCACAGAATAGGGTGTGTTTACGACTGGTGGATTCAAGTCATTTATGACGGAAAAATTAAGGTATGATTGTTCAGATGCATTTTCTTTCTACTGAATGAATGGTTATGCAAGTGTATTTAAACAGGTTAAGTAAAAGAATTAGAGAATATATTAATGGGCGTATGAATGGAAGGAACTCATAAGAACTGAGGATTTTACTATAATTTTTTCACTAAAATATAATGAGGAAAACATGGTGTTTGCATTCACGAATGGCACGTAAACCATAGCTACTCGTTACTTATTATCATTAGTTTTATAAAGTTATGAATGGATTACTTTTTGTTATAATTGTCTGTTATAGCCTGGTATAATATTGCTCGGTAGTAAGGGAAACCAATGGAAGTATAGTAAACGTCCACCATGTCCTTGAATTCATCAACAACAAGCATCGATATGTGTTCGGGCAGATAATTCTGGTGGCTTGATTTAAAAAGCAAGAACAAAGGTTCCGGAAGAATAGCATGAATCTATGTTATTTCTTTTGTTTTCGCCAGCTACCTACATTCTGTGACGTTAAAAAAATCATGATTACTTAATGGGTTTAAATTACTTACATGGAAGGGTTTGACCAGAAGTTATATTGAAGACATGTTATTGAAGCATAGCAAGGGTATAAATAAATGTAATAGACTGAATATTGTAAATGTACTTTCTGCAAAAGTGCATACTACAACACTGATTGTGATGTAGATAGCCAACGTAGATGATCTATGTCGAAATGATTAGAGGCATACTCGGGTTAGACGTGAATGTTGTGACAAACTGGCTAACGTCGAAGTCATGCCTCGTAGTCAGCACCTTATGTGGACTACCCTATTGACGTATCAAGGCACCATAGGTGCTTTGAAGACTGTACAACACAGAGGATGTTATTACAGAAATATATTATTTAAAGTAGATCCAAGCGAAAGTACGACCACTGCCGCATGGGCCAGTCCGTGGCGTACGATTAAGTGATGCGCGTTGGTTGACCGTTACCTCGACGATGATCGATTATTTGTTCGATTATCAATGACCCAACTACGGATGATTTAGCTAGGGCTTAGTGATACTTCGCTGGCCCTACGGTGACGACAGTTCAAACAGCCAGAAACAAGTGGTTACATAATGAGCAAACGTTGATAGGAATAAAATGAATCGAAGTCAGTTGATAACATCATCGTATTGTTCACCAACTCAAGGAAAAATTAATAACCATCTTCTTTTGAGCAAAAATTCACCTTGAAGGATTGCAAGCTATCAACCTGATGTCCTGTATCAAAGAGATGTTTGGTTATTGTACTGTTTAAAGTCATTCTTTTGATTTTATGAATATTAAACTGCTTACCAATGTCATAGTGACCCAAACGGAAGTCTCAATCAAAATATAATGATAGTTAAACACGAAGTCTTATATAGATGAAAACTCAGTAATAACACCCAAAACAACAATATATATATATTGTGGAGGACAAAACTACAGCGTCGATAACCCTCGTAACTTTGTATCAATAGATAAGAACCAACCGACCTGAAAAATCAGAAACACAACAGCTCGGTAACCATGTGGTACTTGATAAAATAAAGAGACAAACGAAAAGTACGAATTTACAACACTTGGATGATCTCGAATCAGGTATATACAGTCGAAAGGTACTAAAATGTGGATAACTAAGTTTAATTTGCTTTGAATATGAACAGTTAACTACAATATGACAACGGTACGAAAACTCAATAAACCTACAAAATGTCACTCGTCAATTCACACAAAAAGATGAGTGATCAAAGTTTCCAACAGCAGTATTCTTCATAAACAGATGGGATAGACGACCTTCATTCCCTAGAGATAATCAGTGAATCAATCAGAAATTATCAAGAATATAGCTATTGCCGCTAGAACAAAAGTTTTCAAATTCAAATGGTTCAAATGGTTCAAATGGTTGTGGACGGAATAGAAGAAGCTTTCGCTTAACAGGCTTCCGTGTCTAGTAGCAGGGGATCACCAAATCCTCCAGGCAGGAACCTAGGTATGTTAACAATAAAAAAGGAAAAGAAATTGGTAAATCATAATGTGATGCTGTCCTTGGTCCTTAAGAATAGGTCAAGTTGCCTCTTGAAGGACTCCTGAGAAGTCGCTTGGACTAGCTCGGCCGGCAGCGAATTCCAGCTTTTGACAACTCTTAAGGAGTAGAAGTTGTGTCTACATTCCGTCTAGCTATGTCCAGAAGTGTTAAGAATACTATAAGCCATTAGTAAATCACCTCTAAGACGCCTATATTCTAGTGGGTAAAGGTCTAGTGAACGGAGGCGTTCTTCATAAGGCTTAGATAATGCTTAATTAAGACAAGACATGACATGGTGAGCCAGAGAACAACGAAAGTATCATTTAAGTGACTAGTGAAATGTATTGACCGCTGATACATTTGAATAATATTTACTGAATGCAGAAATAATTATGAAAATACCTCATAAACAGAGGGATTATAATACATTTTATTGTGTTGACAAAACTACTCATACTGTAGGACACCACAATCTTTCGAAATCAAGATAGCTCTCTTAATAACAAGATACAGGTGTCAAGAAACAAACGATTATCTTATTCTGTTTGCAACTTTTGAATTTTGAAACGTATACAAAAAACCTTGGATTGCCACCATTTTCGGCGGGGCGTCTGGAATCTGGGTCCTAATGGTTCCCTCGGACTCGCATGATCTGGGCGGTAGGTTCTTATGGTCTAGATCTCTTTCTATGTCAATAATTTTGGTTTGATAAGGATTTATTTCTGAGAGTTATTAGTGGCAATAAATAACAAAATTTTCAGTGTTAGTTGTGTCTGAATTACGTTATTTCATATCCATCCAGTTTATGATGTAACCTGTTAGATGAGCGTAATAACTTGTATTCGTGAACAGTAATTCACAAACTTTATAACATGAAATGCATTTTGCGGTAGTGCAACTCACTAAACCTAGTAGGTTTCTGTTTGATGAATTATGTGAGTCTGTAACTCATAGACGACCTTTAATCGATGCTAAGTTGATCTTAACAAAATTCACTTTACTAGAATCAAAAGAGAGTTATAGTCTAGTATGAGGAACCAAGGCTGGGACTGAGAGTTCAAAGTCATAGTTAGGCATTAGAGCTAGAGTTTTCATCACAGAGCGACATCGTTGTTAATGCTGAAATGCTATTTGGCCATATGGATGAGTGAAATCCGCCCCAAGATTTGCCCTCTTCAATCTCATTTGTTCACCCATACATTTCAGTCTCGCCACAAATTCGGATAATTGTTTCCGGCAGCTCAGCTAGCCTAGTCGAACTCACACCCATTTTAGGTCAGGTGAGATTTCTGTCTTTTAATTAAAGGGCGAGTGTAATGATCAACCAACTGACTGACCATCTTAGACGATTCAGTTCTGTTCTGTGTATCTGATTTCGAATTCATTGGTAAGCATTATATCCCCCTGCCTTTTGCTTTGTTAGTTTTGTGTGTGGTTTATTTTTAAATAAAATAAATTTGTGTGTGGTGAAGTAAAACAACTTGCATCAAAACATATTTGTCTCGGAATTCGCTTTAATGACTGATTGAGTAGTTTATTCATCGTACATATTGAGGAGCTACTTAACAACTGTGAGCTGTTTACACTTAACATAGCTTCCTAAAAAAATCCATGAGTAATAAGAAAAATCATAATGAGAAAGGTAGTAATCGACTGTAAGGGTGCGAAATATGTTCGTTCATAATAATGTATTTATGCTTCGTAATTGGATATTTCTGAATCAAGTTATTCATCTCTTGGATTGTCATAGTTTGCGCTGGAAATGATACTCCAAACTACTTAGACCACTAATTTAAAAGTTTAGTTTATAGGGCAATGGATTAACCTCATCAGGTGTGTCACACTGGCAACTAGTAATTCAAGTTTTTTTATTGGCTACTAATCCTCGTAACCAGGGTTTCCTAGTCTTATCACACTCCGGCTGTTTTTGATGGCATTCTGGAAGCATTAGCGAACTCATGTGGTGATGTTACCTGGAGAAGGAATTATCTATCTCAAATAAGTAGGTAACCTTGTCCTATTGTGAGGTGATATATAGACTATCCAAACTTAACACACAGCCAGTATTTGGTGCTTTTAAGTTACTTCCTTAAATTTTTAGGGGCCCGTCTGAACCTTTTGTTTTTGGTGAGCCGCAATGTGCATAAATAACCGAAGAGTTATAGTCGGATAGTTTGAGTGCCGGTGATGCGTTGCAGACAAAACTAATCTACTTATAAAAAAGCCAAAGTGGTTTATGCCAATTTCTATTTTCTGCGCCTTCATGGTGCTAACTCAATATACAAATCATCGTAGTAGTCAGTTTTTTGTGGGTTATTGATTAAGGATATTCCGCAACTTGGTTTTTGCATCATTGTTTCCGAAGGGTTACTCTAACGAAATTCTTCGTAGAAGTGCGATAAAGTTAACTAAATAGTCCTGGCTCTTTTTTGACTGAGCTGAATCTGATAATCAGTATTGTTTTTGTTTGTTCATCGGTTTTATGACCCTTCACAAAGTCATTACTTAAATGGTGTGGCATGTTTTTTGTGGCCTGTTGTACCAGAACTGTGTACTATAAATAAATAGGAATGAAGCTATTTAGGTTTCTGGATGGTTGTTTGCATGAGTTGTTTATAATCAATTTGTCAACTGAGGAACCCTTCTGGGTCCGTTTTTTTATGAAAACCATCGTCACGTTAAGTCAGTGAGGCTATAATCACTCAACTATTGAAGTAGACTTCCGGAATAAATGAATTCCCATCACTTTGTTGTACCAGTGTAATAAAGAGCAGTAACCTGAACTAATCCATATTTGTTTCACAGATGTAAGATTGTAATATCGTGGCTGCATCTATTGTTTCTCGTCGAAATAACTGATGCATCATGTAAACGAATGAATTTGAAACTAAGGTTTATAATCTTTCTTCAACCCCACTGTATCTTATTACAAAGTGAAATGAAATTCAAAGCATCCTTTTTCATAATCTATATGCTTATTAGGCGGTTGCTTAGTAGTTAAAGCTTTTGGAGTTCAGCTACTAGATCCGAAGTTTAAACTTTTTCCCACCTACTTCGGTTTGGGAAACCGGGTAGTATCATTAGCCCTCACACTTAGATTGTAGCTTATACCCAAGTGCCTGGTGTGTTACCTTATTAATTTTTTAGTACAATAAGTCAATAGTAAATAATCAAATTTATTTCCCGTTCCTGGTCACAAAACAATTCAAGGCGTCATTTTAAATTAGATTGGAAAGTATGGTGGAACACGAGTTAATAAAAGCCTATCCTACCTTTGGATGTCTATTTTTACTTTTTTTCTTACAAAATTCACTTGCATTGACGGAATAAATAATCCAAACCTTTTCATAGTACTCTAGTCTTACTGAGATATAGTTAGTAAGTAGACAGTCAGTGATTACATTTTAGTTTGCTTCGGCAAAAATCGGTACTGCTTATTGATGTGTAAATACTAACAAGATTAATGCTGTCTTTATAGATTTTTTACCCTAATTAATTCTGTTTACTGATACATTGGAAGTGTCAAGGAAATTCAGTCTTTTTCATAAAGTTCACTCAGTAATAATAATAAATAATGTTAAATATGTATTTATCTCTGTGTTATGGATAGATTCCTGGATAGAAGTCACTCCACAAAGTTTGGGTTACAACCAAAATGGTTCTAGTTATTCAGGTATCCATGTTCTCAGTATTAATTCACAGACACTAGGTTCCCAGGAGCCTGGGGGCCTCCATACCATAGTTGAAGAAAGGTTACTAAGTCTCTTCCTCTCAGAAGCCCAAGAACATTCAGACAGAGCAAGCGATGGTTCTCTGCCTAGCCCATTATCACACGACGAACTTCACAGTGGTGATACATCTGAACAGTCTCACTCTACGTATCAAAATATAAGTATGGCCAAATTCCCCACTGCGAGTTTTCCAACTGACTTTCCAGTTACAAGCTCTGGAGAATGGGCTAGTCGACCTGAAATTGGAGCGTAAGTCAATATATTCCGTAGTTTTAACGTTTTATCCCACCTTATAAAGCTAGGAAGGAATCAACTTCTTACATACTGTATACGTGATATTTGTCATTCATAAAATAATTAACCAATCCATATTTTTGTAAGTAGAATTTGGCGTACGCAAAGACATTAGTTTGTGTTAAGTCAACCAAAACTATTTTTTAGTCTACACTGTGTCATCGCTGTCAAATGTATCTTGATAAACGGTTGTGTTTGCAGTCCATTGATGCATTTAGTACCATTTAATGTTATATATGACCTACAACATTTTAGATTATTTTTCACTGTTTATCTTTGTGATTGTCACATTCCAGTCATCCAACCTTAAATGTAATTAAAGTTTATGATCTAACGTTGTGTTGGTATCAAGTAGAGACTATGTTTCCATCAGCTCTGAATGCTATAGTTAATACATATTGTAGACGTGAATAAAATATGAAAGTGGTCAATCTATTATGTCGACCTGTGGTCGTTAAATTGTGATTTTTATTTATATACTAGTAACTACTAATGATTAACGCTTATGTGTGAACCCAATTAATCCTTAACTACAACACATTTTTCTGTGGTCGACGAACTATTATTTTTCTTCGGAGTGATATGTCAATAATACTTCTTGTAAATGTATGCACAAGTAATCGATCCATATGCATACATAAGCAATGCACACAAATATGCGTCATTGTTTCATCCTGTTGCTCATAAATATATAGGCCTAGGTTTACATGTGATTAAATTTGCTAGTGATACTCTTTAGATTGTTGTTATTCATTTTTTAAAAATAGATGAAAACACCCGAATTTCCGTCTCAGTCACGCTTTTAATGCATACATTATTTAAAGTGATTAAATTTATATCAAAAAGTCTATTATTGAAACGTGTTGTTTAATATCGATAGAAAAAGTGTCATTAAAATATAAGATATTCTTGTCAAAGTTGGCTTTCTCATTAACTTAGTTTTTAATGTCCTTTTGTTTGCTAATTAATAATCACAAGTTCTTTTCAGTTACTGAACTAACTCATTGTTCTTAGCACTTGATTCCGGATTGAGAAAAGAGAAATTCGAATCTTACTTAATGATCACTTTTAAACTCTAATCCTTATCCTTAACTGCTGCACATTAAGTACGCTTAACATCCAACTCCTTCGTTGTTAAGTTGCATGCTAATAATCGTGAATTGATCATCAATCACTGGTATTTTCCGAATTTTCAAGGTACACTGCACTGGCATGTCAGACAAATGATTCTAAAGAAAGCGTATCCAGTCCTCCTAATCGCTCATCTCCAATTACCGGCTCGTGGTATCTACGCAACTCGGCTTTTATGAAATCGCGTTTCATTGGTTGGTTGCTTGATCATATTCCAAATATATTAAGCCATGCGACTACATTCCTGTTGGGAGCAATTACGTAAGTTTTAGATCATTTATTGAGTGGATATATTTGGTTCGTTGTGTTATTATACTTATGGATCTGAACTAATTTCCATTCATCGTAAATGAGAAACCCGCTTCATGGTACACAGATACAAGTCGTGTTCAGATCTATAGCTTTGTTATCAGTCAGATTCACAAAGTATAGTACTGTCTTGGAATATCTCAAACTTCATCCGTAAGAACTATCTAAAAATAACACAGTTGATAGTTCCAGTTATATAGTAATTAATTTAACATCCATAAAGTTATACTAAATCTAAACATCATAGTTATCTTTTATCTTGTGTTGAAACTACTTTGATAGGATGTCATAACTTAAGTGTAACTCTGTTGAATATGCATCAATTATCTGTAGTCATATATTTCCTCGGATCGGTTATAGTTTTACTTAAAAGTAACTTTAAAAGGTGTTGTCGTTAATACAGTTATTTTGAAAAAATGGTCTGCAAACTTGGTGTAATATAAATTAATAAGATTGTAATGTAACAAATAGATTAACTTGTGTGCATGTACATCTACTTAAATTAGAATTTTGAAATGCGGAAATTTTATAGAACTCAAAGGCCAAATTGCAAAAATAGTAGTTTTTTACCGAGTGATGCAGCGTTCTAAAATCTGTTTGTGTACTCCCTTTTTAGCGCATGAAGCTTTCAATTTCAGAGAACTTATCAATATGTACTTATTTCTTAGTAGAACAGTATAAAAAGAATAATTGCTGACGTTTGAATAATACTTATACATTTTTAAATGAAGCATGAAGGAAAGAGGTTAAATTCTGATACTATGCCTAAAATATATATCTAACAATGTAGTCTTAATTGGTCGTAGAACAAGTAACCTACATACTAAGAGATATTTTCATGTCGGGAATTTATTCGTCAACAGCCTTCCTCATTTTTCGCACTGTAATCTTTAGGTCTACTTCAGTGTGTCGTTGTTTTTGTGTTTTTAGATTTTTATCTGTGGTGTGGCAACTCGAACTGATGTACATACGTACGAAGTTCTACGTTGTTAGTGACTGACTGACTGATCTGTATTTGTAAACATCTAGTAAGCAGTAAATAGAGCTCACGAATGTTTACAATAAAAAAATTCTTTCGAGAAACGTTTATCTGTTTCTATTTGTTTGTAGAAAGTTTTTCTTTAATTGCCTTCTTAACAACTGTATGCAACATAATTCTTTAAAATTTGTACCTCAATATATTCCCCCAAATGCCCTGGTATGGTCGAGAGTGGGGTGGGCTCTCCCTCCCTCTCGAAATGCTCTCACACGGCCACGCGTATACAGCCTCTGCCAGGGAATTCCTACTCGCTGCCTTCCCGTGGCGGGTTTTGTTTACGAAATTAAGAGGACGAAAAGCAAATGTCCGGCGCTTTAACCGGATCACAAATCAATGGTGCACATGGGCTCCAGTATCTTGAAGGAACAAATGGCGTATGAACCAATCGTTGGTCACCGGCTACCATGGGATTGCATCTCCTTACGATGCTTCACTGCCTTGTGGGTTAGACCTTTAGGTCAAAGGCTCGGGGAGTGGCCCCCTAAGATAACCACCTGCTTCGGTTTAGGCACCCGGGCAGTATCACAGCCCTCACACAAATCGAATGATTTATGTGGCGCATATCTATTTGGTGCCTCCTTGTACCAATATCTATATGTTAAAATAAATAAAATAATAGTAATCAAGATTTTTCAATGTTTTGTTTATTTTTCTATTGATAGCATGCTTTTATTCATCCGAAAACGTGCAAGGTTCACAAAAGTACTAAACATACCTTTGGATTAAATCACACAGTGAATAATCACTTGATTTGACTAATCAAAAAATATTTTTTACAATAAAATTCATTCATCAGTTTGTACACTCACATTAAGTACTAAAGGTGAAATAGGCTTTCTGCTGGTTTGGTTTTGTTCTTTCTTTTAATTACCTTTTGTTTTACCATATATATTTAACGTTGTGGTTGATTATTATTGGTGTTTTTGGCCTTTAATCATATTATAAATATATTTCTTTCGTTATTAACTCCAAACTTCATCGCACATATATTTGTATACACATTTGTGGTTTCTTTATTTTGCATACTAAATATTACCTTTAATTATCAGTAATATATTAGAAGTTGAGTATATATTAATTGTATTCATGAACGTAACTACTTTCACATTCTTTGTTTTTTGTCATTATCAATATTTTATTTTTTCATTTATTTAAATGAACGTTTAATTTTTCTATTTGTGTCAGAGAAGTTTGAATATTTTTGCGCAATATTATTATTATTATTATTATTATTATTATTATTATTATTATTATTATTATTATTATTATTATTGTTAATTTTTTTCTAATGTATGCAAACATACTTTCGTCATATTTTATCATCTTCACTTTTATTTCTTAATGTTCTTTTAAAAGAGATAACTAATAATGGGATCATTTGCCTATTTGTTTAACTATTCTAAAGGTTAATTAAATTATCTCTTCGTCAATATTTGTTTCTATGATGATTATCTTTTTTTTTACAGAAAAGAATATTTTTACTGTTCCTTTTTGTCTTTATTTAAAAGTTCCTTCATACTGGTGGTTTACTCAATCTATTCCTACTTTATTAACTTTTAGGAGAGATTATATAACAATGCTTCCTTTTTCATAATGATGATTATGTTTAATTAGTGGGCTGGTATATGTATGATTTTTACTGCGTATTGCCACCATCTTGATGGTAACTGTTCACCTAAGCTGGTATATCACGAAATATTAGTGACGACTGGAACTTGTACAATTAAATATCTATATATAGTTATTTCTTGCACTGTTTCTGAAACAAACATTCACCGTATTGATCGTTCTTTGTTTAAAACTGCGCCGACATGCAGATGTAAACAATCCATTTGATAATGCATTGTTCTCAAATCGCCTGGTGTACACTTTCCTTGTTGTTTTTCTAATGAACAGTAATTAATATTTGTGATTTATGTGTGGTGTGTACGGAATTAATGTGTTTCTTTTGTCGATATGTACTGTCTTATAAATATTGGTTTGACTTGTATAAATTGCCAGACAGAAAACTCAGGTTCTTTATCATTTGATGAACTAATTGATTTATGCTTATGCTTATCTGATGCTTCCTAGTAACTAATAATAATCACGCTAGTATAGTCTAAAGATAAGTAACAAGTAATTTGTCACCAAGTGGTTCAGGGATGTTTTCGGAAGGTTCCATTTTATTGTGCAATCAAGTCCCTTTCATCTTTTTTTGTTGATCTCGTGCAAAATAAAAATGTTCTAATCATTATTGCATTTGATGTTTATTATCCATTCATGACAACATGATGATATATAGGCTTTAGTTAGAGCAGCATAAAAAATTCACTAAAGAATGTTGTATCAGTCCCAACACCTGGACTCCTTATTCATTCATGCATTTTAATTTTCACAGAAGTCGATTGTAAAAGTCAGTCATAGCATCTTCATGCAATCATCATAAAAGCTCGACTTAAAATACATTTCTCATTGACTTCTTGATATCAACTATAACATTATTCCTAATGGTTATCGCTAAATATATCTACTTGTTTATCGTCATTCAATTGACCGTAACGATACTTAATTTGTAGTTTTGATAAATATAGTTGATATTCCAAACTATCAAGGTTAAAAGCTCTTGTTTACTACATAATACAGCAATTCATCAGTTACGTAGCAGAATATAATTCCTCAAATACTCATCACAAGATGGGTATATAATTAAGTCGTGAATAGTATCTCTTAAGTGATCTGAACCAAGTGTAACTTATTCGCGTCAGTTATTCTAAATGTATGTTCTTCACGCGAGTTGAGATATTTTTAAGTTCATCAGTAATTTCACTTCGGATAGAGAAATTCTCTGTTGTTGCTAAAAACCGATTTTAGTCCTTTATTTGTGTCAAGTCCGCACTTTCTGTAGATAGGAAGATTAAATTACATTGTGATTGCCTGTCTATACAAAGGCAAATAAGTCAAGGTAAGAAGGATAAAACTTGCGTATTTTAATGAATAGACAAACGGTAAAGAAGAATGAGAAATTAGGGCCATGGTGATGACTACAATTGTATGGACTCTCATCACACACTCTTGTCTAGATATAGCTAGTGCTTTATCATCGCAAAAATATAAGTATGCACTTCAATGGATTAGGTTTGTTATTGATGACAGAAATTTACACCTAATTTTGGGTAATTTTTGTTGGTCCATATAGGGGTATGGGTGCTTATAGACAAGTGAATAAATATCCCTCGAATAACTTAGCTCCAAAAAAACACACATATATGAGTATTGGATCGATCAATGGAGGTCGTTTGTCCTTCGCTCGGGGAATTTGTGAGCTACTACTGTAGGATACTTATAACAAGGTTGTATAGGATATAGTTCCTAGTTTTCCATTTTTGCTGGGATTTACTAAAATATCACAGTAAGATGGTTGTTTTTACAAGAGAGTTTAAACAAACGTGTTGTTATATACTCAACATCAATTGACATGTAAAAAAATATAAACGTTGATTTTTGTAAGAACGACTATCTAAATATTTTCCTCGAATTCAACACCGAAATTACTTGCTTTAAATTGACCATTTTTTCTTAAGTTTATGCTGCATGAACTTCGCTTTTGAAGTAATTAAAATACTATGGTGCTTTACAGATTATTAGTTTGGTAAGAATTTATGCCTTCGATCAATAATTTTTGGTGTTAAAGATTTGAAAGTGGATTTTTTTTCTATTTAATTGAAGTGTAATTTAGGTTACATATGTCAAATTACATTGTTTTTCTTATATAAATATAACGATCATATGGACGTTTCTATGTGTATGTATCCTGAATCTTATTTTTGGTATATACTTCTGTCTTAATTTATGAAAAGACTTGCTCAGGGATTATTATTTTATAAGAATTTGTATTGTACGTGTGCATGACTATCAACGTATTATTGAAATACCTTGGCGTTCAAGTTGTAATCTTTGTCTTTCTAATAACTAATATTAATCATGCTAACATACCCTAAAGATTAGTAACAAGTAGTTACTTATCACTAGATGGTTTAGGGATGTTTTTGGAAAAGTTCTATTTTACTGTGTAATCAAATTCATAATGTAAATTTTACTTTTGAATTAGCTGTGTCATTTTGACTACAATTATAAATTCTCGACGTACTAATTAGATATTAGTGTCTAAATTGTGCTCAAGATGATAATGGTTATTAGATGTACTTGAAATGTAATCAAAAAAGCCAGTCTACTGAAAACAATCGTGTATTCTTCAGAGAATTACCGGAATTCGAAAGATAATTGCTCAATAAACAATATCTCTGTTGTTCTTTCGTCAATACAAAGTTCTTTATGGGTAAAACTATTTGTTACCGTTAGAACAATTTGTTCTTGTTGTATATCGAACAAGAACAAGGTTTGCAGAGCAAAATGAAATTATCGCATTTCATAGCTTCTCGTTAGCTGCAAATAACCTGAAATTACAACTTTATTTGATCATACACGAAGGTTTAATATACGTTAGTAAAGCTTACATAACTGTCCGAAATGAAAATAAAGAATTATAATAAGTGTACTACATACAATACATGACTAGATATGGTTGAGGTTGGCGCGTATTTGTATGTTGAAAAGTGGTAATTTAGAGTAGAATATATAATGCTATAGTTACGAATAATCGTAAGAAAGATGCAAAATGATTGCGTAAGCGTAATGAAATTAATAGGCGGTGACATGATTGGAAACAAAGTTAAATTAACATGCGAATATGATTGTGATTATGTAAGAAATAAAAAATTGGAAGACAAAGAAAAGTTTTAGAACAAATTACAAGATTATTTGATTAGCGGTCAGTCAAAATGTCAAGAAAAGGCTAATCACATTTTCTTCTGTATACATAGGCCAAATTAAGAATGTTAATTATCGATTACCTTTTCTAAACGGAGTTAAACTTTTATTGGTTGTTTCCTAGGTATTTTATATGCATCACTTATATCTACTTTATGTTCACAATCCCAAAAAATATCTGAGACTATTGACTTTCGTATGTAGATTCTTAGGAACGTGTTTAGAAACCGTTCTCCCTATCTTTCCTATATACTTTCTACCTCGGGTACATGTAAATTCATAGGTGCAGCTGGAGATGATTTCGAAAAGGTATTGACCTTCCTTCAATAGTATAACGAACAATTGGTGTTATATAGTGAAACTAGTTGAGCCACAGTAAATCTTCTAATGAATGCTACCATGATCCTTCCATCGATTCTTCTTGAAATACCATCCTCCTTTAACAGAAGAAGGATATAGACAGGTATCTTGAAAGGTTATTTATGATTTTCAAGATGTTCTTTTCCATATTTTGCAATAAATTTATTCTAATGTTCATTTTGCACAAGATTGTTTTCCATAACAACCGATTTTTCATTTATTCTATTGTTTGATCATAATTTGTAAAGTAAAGGAATACTACGACGTCGCGGAAAAATTGTTTAGGGAATCAATTAAGTATGAATGACATTTTATTATTTAACACATACATTTATAGACTCATGTTTTATGAAGTCAAAATATAGAAAAGATTGGCAATATTTATATAACGGTCAAAATAAATTCTTTGTTTCTTAATTAAGACCTAATTACTCAGTGTCTATTATTTTTACAGACATTTATTTTACTGTTGGAATTAGAAAGTAATATCAATGTACTGAAATACCTGGATGTTATTTAGAGGTTTGTCACATCCATCGAATACAAAATTGAAAAAT